CCCGCCTCGACCCTCGGCCCTGGGCCGGCGCGCCCCGCCTCGCCGCCGCCTGCGGGCCGCCGAGTTCCCGCTAATGCCGCGCCAGCCGCGGACTCCCGCCCCGCCGCCTCCAGCCCGCGCTGCCACCGCCGCCACCAACCGCAGCCGCCGCGACCAAGCGACAGCGATGAACAACCTAGCCTAGCTGGGATCGCGGGCTGGGACGGGCAGGCGGCGCAACCAATACACGGAGCCCGTGGCCCCGTGCGCCCACCGCGGGGGCAGGACTAGCGGTCTGGGCGGGGCGTCTACGCGCGCAGGAGGGGCGGGGCGGAGGCGCCCGCGGTTTGGTTGCGCCGACTTGGGAAGGGGGACGCGCAGCCGGGAGCCGGGGCGGGGCCGCCCGGGATTGTGGGAATGTGGCGGACTCCGCCGGCTCTTCTCGGCTTCGCTGGGCTCCTCTCGGGCCAGCTCGGGCCCGTTCGGGCTGGCTCGGGAGTTAGAGGCGTGCACTCAGCAACTGCGCTGCGGTGCAGGCCTTTACAGTCTCCGGGTTCGCAGGGAGCCGCCACTTCCCCCAGGAAGCGACCTGGCATTGCCTCACTGGAAACCAGCCTTTACTCACTCGTTATTAATGGGATGCCTATTGTGTATCAGGCATTAATGCAGCCCCTGCTGTATACACGACACAGCAAAAGCATTAATAGAGCTCCTGCTATATACCAGGTATGGTCAAGCATTAATGAAACTCCTACTATATGCCAGACATGGACGAAGCATTAATAGAGCATCTGCTACATGCCAGACAGGGCTCAAATATTAATGTAGCATCTGCTCTATACCAGGCATGGACTATGCATTAATAAAAATTTAACTGTATGCAGACTTGGACAAGGCATTAAGGAAGCACCTGCCACATGCCAGACAGGGAACACGTATTAATGCACACCTGCTATATACAAGACACAGCAAAAATATGAATGAAGCACCTTCCATATACCAGGCATGGACCAAGCATTAATACAGCTCCTACTATATGCCAGACATGGACCAGGCATTAATGGAATGCCTGCTATAGACCACACAGGGCACAAGTATCAATGCAGTGCTGCTGCTATATACAGACATGGACCAGGCATTAATACAGCACCTACTATATTCCATACAGGACAGAAGTTTGTTTGTTTGTTTATCTTGCAGTGAAGTGGGGGTAGAAATAGGGTCTTTCTTTATCACCCAGGCTGGAGTACAGCAGTGTCATCATAGTTCACGGTAGCCACAAACTCCTAGGTTCAAGTGATCCTCCCCCCAGTTTACCAAGTAGCTGAGACTACAGGTGTACACCAGCGTGCCTGCTAATATTTTTAAATTATTTTTTTTAGTGGCTTGGCGCCTGTGGCTCAAGCAGCTAAGGCACCAGCCACATACACTTAAAGGTGGCAGGTTCTAATCCAACCCAGACCCGCCAAACAACAATGACGGCTGCAACCAAAAAATAGCCAGACGTTGTGGCGGGCGTCTGTGGTCCCAGCTACTTGAGAGGCTGAGGCAGTAGACTCGCTTGTGCCCAGGAGTTGGAGGTTGCTGTGAGCTTCAATGCCACAGCACTCTACCCAAGGGCTCAGCTTGAGGCTCTGTCTCCAAAAAAAAAAATTATTTTTTTAGAGATGGGGTCTTGCTATATTGCCCTGTCTAGTCTTGAACTCCTGGCCTTAAACTATCTTCCTGCCCAAGTCTCCCAAATTCCTGAGACTACTGGAATAAGCCATGGCACCCAGCCCAGGGCACAAATATTAATATGGTGCCTGCTGGGCGGTGCCTCTGGCTCAGTGAGTAGGGCACTGGCCCCATATACCAAGTATGGTGGGTTCAAACCCAGACCGGGCCAAACTGCAACAACAACAACAAAAAAATAGCTGGGTGCTGTGATGGGCACCTGTAGTCCCAGCTACTCAGGAGGCCGAGGCAAGAGAATCGCCTAAGCCCAGGAGTTGGAGGTTACTGTGAGCAGTGATGCTACAGCACTCTACCGAGGGTGACAAAATGAAATTCTGT